TAGGGAAAACCAAACTCCCTTGAACCATGATATATATATATATAGATAGATAGATAGATAGATAGATATAGATATAGATATAGATATCTCAAACAATAAATATCTACACACTCATATCTAAGCCAAATCACACTTTTTCATTAGACTAGAACTCAGAGTTTGGAAAATTAATAATAGATTTAATATTCATGATACAACTGAAGTACCACACACTTACCCAAGTCTTTGCTAACCAACCTAACACAAAATGTACTTTTTCTCTTGTAGCAGTTATTAAATTATGGATCATTTATCATAGTGTCTTTTACTTTTTTATGCGTCTAATCTATTTATATATACTTAGGAAATATCCTGGGCATAGTTCATAATGACCTCTGCTACCATAAAGCCTGGATAGTTCTCCTCATACTGTAAATATTGCTTTACCTGTTTACTCAGAGGCATACAGAGCTCAAAGTGGTTGGGTAGCAGGCTTAACTTCTAGTTCAATGGAACCATTGTTGTGTCCTTTGATGGAAGCATTCTTCCCTTTAGAACTAAAAAATCTAGGCCACAGAGCATAAGGTCTCAAAGGCATAAAGAAAAATTTAACTAGTGGATCATTAAGGGTAATAGTGAGAAATGTCACTCCTATTTCCACCCTTTAATTCCTGGAACTATATCTTGACCACAGGAGAAAGAGTGCCATACATTGAATGTTGATGTTCACCATAAGTAATCTTCTGAAGAATGTTGCCTCAACTTTGAAATGTATTGCTACCTAGGTGACATAATAACCGAGCCTTCAAAAGAGCATTCCACAATTCTAACAAACCATCTATATATTTTAGGAGAATGGGAAATATTAAGACTAGTGAGTTCTGTGAGCATAGGCCCACTTTCCATCTTCATTTGTTGTAAAATCAGTTCCTTGGTCAGAAATAATGCTATGTGGTATAGCATGATGGTGGTAAGATATTCCTTAAGTTATAGATGGAAGTTTTGGCAGACATGGCATTGAAGAAAGACCAATTCATATCCAAAGTGTCATTTCTGGTAAGAATAAAACATTGCCCCTTCTATAATGGAAATGCTCCATTGTAACCAACCACCAGGTAACTGGCTGATCACTACAAGGAATGGTGTTGTTCAGGGGACTCAGTATAGTCTCTACTGCTGGCATATTAGGCACTCAGCAGTGGTTGTAGTCAGGTCAGCCTTGGTGATTGAAAGTCTATGTCGCTTAGCCCATACATAAACTTCTATCCCTCCCATCACACCACTTTGTTTATAAACCCATTGCATCATAGTAATGACTGAAGAAAGAAGTTGACTAGTATCCACAGGTTGGGTCAACCTATTCACATGATTATTAAAAATCTTCCTTTGCTGAAGTCACCCTTTGGTGAGCATCTACATGTGTCAAAAATAGTTTTTTTTTCTTTTTTTTAACCAATTTAGAGATATTTTTGTAAATACCTCTCTCCCAGACCTCCCTGTCAACAATTTTCCAATCATGCCATTTTCAAGTTCCTGACCATCCAGTCAAACCATTGAGTGTGATGTATTCTGGAAGGGAAAGACAATCAATAATTTATGAATTGGTAAATAGTTACACATCTAACCATTTTTTCCTTTCAAGCAAGTGAAAAACCAGGTATAGGCCTCAAAGTTCTGTCCACTGGTAAGAAATTATTTTACCACTCTCCTTCAGTGACATCCCAGACAGAGGATGTAGTGCTGTATGTTCATTTTCATGTGGTTTCTACACATTGTGCAAAACTATCTGTAAATCAGGTCCCAGTTATCTCTTCTTTTGTCAACTTATCACACCAGAACTGCTTATGAAGCTATAGTGCAGGTTGGGAGAGAAAAAACAGTGCCGGATTGTGGATCACGAGCATTTGGGTCACTTCTTCTCATAACTTACTTATGCCCTCAAGGCTTTCTAGAGCCCAATATCATATATAATACATACATTTGATGATAGAATGTGGCTGTGAATGCCCAATTTTCTGGCTTGATGGCTCAGACAACACCCAGTTCATCATAGGTGGCTCAGGCTGTATGTAACAAAAGCTATTTATAAAATGAGAGCCATTATTTGCTGAAGATAGCAGGACTTTGCTCCAAAATACTAAGTGTCTGTGCTGTGATTCACCTGTAGTATTTTTATCTACCACGGATATTTTAGTCACTATTGGCATTTATGGATGATATGGCTCAGGTAGAAGAAAAGCTTACATAATAGTCTGGATCTGTTGCAGAGTCTCTCTTACTCTGGGCCCCACTAAAAATTAGCAAGTTTTCAGGTCACTCAGGAAATTTTTCCGCTATCACACCCAAATGAGAAATATGTTGTCTTCAAAATCCAAAGAGGTCCACTAGGCCTCTATTTTTGGTTGTAAAAGGGGTAAGATGCAACAACTTATCCTTCACAGGATAACTTGATCTATGCCATACCAGTGGACCCCTAGAAATATCACTAATGCTATGAGCCATTTAATTTTAAATTTATTCCCTATCCCCTGAACATGCAAGTATCTAACTAATAAGTATATAGTAGTCGCCCTTCTGGTTTACTAGGTCTTATGAGCATAATGTCAATAATGAAATAGACAAGTGTGATGTATTCTGGAAGGGAAAGACAATAAACATCCTGTGGAGTAAATTAAGACATAAGGTTGGATATTTACTATACCCTTAGGCTAGAATAACAAAGTTGTATTGCTGATCTTGCCAGTAGAAAATGAACAACTTCTAGTGGGATTTATAAATACATACAGAGAAGTACTAGCAGGTGGCATTGTGGTTAAGGTACTGGATTCCCACATAACTGACCATGGTCCAAGTCACGGATTTGGCATCTTGAAAATCACACTGGCTGCATGTGCATGCATGTCCAAAATCCCAAGAAGAGAATGGAGAAGGGATTGTGGTGTGACCATTCCCCTGCAGCATGTTTTCTCACTTTCCGTCTCTCTGTCTCTCTCCAGTGAGCACACACACCCTATGGCAAAAGCCTTAAATACATACATATGAAGAAAAAAACATTTGTAGATCAGTAGCTACATGCCACTACCAGAAATATGTTCATTTGTTCAAGCCATGAAATTGCATCTGGTACAGCAGTTGCAACTAGAATCGACCACCAAGTTAAGTTTACAAAAATCATTCTCAAAAATCTTTCTGGTGACCAGCAGTTAGCATAATGGCTATGTCGCCAAACTCCCATGTAGCTGACCACGGTTCGAGTCTCAGACCCGGTGGCTTAAACTCACGCCAGGTGTGTGTGTGTGTGTGCGTGTGTGTGTGTGCGTGCCCAAGATCCCAAGAGGAGAATGGAGGAGAAGGGATTGTGGCGTGGCCACCCCCCCTGGGGGGTGATTTCTTGCTTTCTATCTCTCTGTCTCTCTCTGTCTATCTGGAGAGCACATGTGCCCTATAGCAAAAACCTCTCCAAAAAAAAAAAAGAAAAAAATATTTTTTCTGCACAGATCAAATAGATGAGTGGAATTAGGGTATAGTAAGAATCACCACCTCTGTATTCTTTAAAACCTTAATGGTGATACTAATCCCTGTAAACCCTCCAGGAATACAGTATTACTTTTTATGTACTATTTTCCTAAGCAGAAGCAGTTCTAGTGGCTTCCAGTTGACCTTTCATACCGTAATAGCCCTTACTCTGTAGGCCAGGGAATGAATGCAGTGATTCTGCCTATTACTGAGTATGTATATTAAAATTATGCATTCTAGAACTAAGGAAACACTGACAAATGAATTTTATGACACACTGGACCCACTGTGAGATGGACATGACCTAGTTACAGGTCTAGAAACAAAACAACACAAAAAAGAGTAGTGGGGATAGGTTCCAGAGAAAAAGAGCAGTGTTTCAGGGCAGCTATTATAGGGGAGGATATTACAGCTTCCTCAGACAAAGAAGGGTTAACTTTCTCAAAGAGGGGTAGAAGACTGCTTCTACCAACAAACAAGAGTCAGCTGAACTTAGGGGTTCAGTTTCCCCAGCTTCATCAGGATCTGCCCTTATGTCTCCATGCACATTTTGAGGATTCCGTGTATTCCCATCACTGTCCTCACTTTAACAGCAGACACCTTGCAAGATTAGAAATTCTATTTGTATTATAACTTGGCCACTCATAAAATGAGACTCTAGGTTTGGTTTTCTGACATATTAGGTCTGCAGCTGCAGATAAAAGTTTCATTCAGGGAAAAAGTAGTAACTTTAAGGTTATGAATGCAATATTTGAACTGAGAATTTAAAGCCATCT